TGAATGAGTGCCTCCAGTGCTACATCAGTTTGTTGAAAGATTTAATTTTGTATTCCTAGAGCATTGTTATCTTGCCAATACCTTCAGTGTAGCTTGAACTACTTCCTTCAGGACCATCAGTTCTTGATGTGCTCATGAGGAACTGGTACACAGATCAAACACAAGTGGATATTGAACAGTTTAAAATCAGCAAAGAGTGCTTCAGTACTGTATCCTTTAACCATAATTTTTCAAGCTTTATGTTGAGCAAATAATCTGAGAAACTAGATTATATGAAGAAGAATGTGGCATCAGGATGGCAGGAAAACTCATGACTAACCTGAGATATGTAGATGACAAAACCATGCTTGTTAAAAGTGCAGAGGATTTGAAACACTTGCCAAGGAAGAAAAATAACTACAGAGCATTCAGTATGAATTATACCTCAATAAGGAGCTCTGGTAGCATAGTGGTTACGAATTGGGCTGCGAACCACTAAGTCAGCAGTTTGAAACTACCAGCTGTTCGGCGGGGGAAAGATGAGGCATTCTGCTCCCATAAAGATTTACAGCCTTGGAAACCCTGTACAGGGTGGCTATTAGTTGGAACTGACTTCATAGCACACAGCCACCACCATAAAGAAATAAAAAATTCCTCAAAATGGGACCAATAAATAGTATCACGATAAATGAGAAAATGACTGAAGTTTACAAAGACTTCATTTTGAATGGATCCACAATCAACACTTATGAAAACAAACAAATGACTTATTGCATTAGGCAAATAAGATGCAAAAAAACCCTTTAAAGCAACAATAGCAAAGATGGCAGTTTGAGGCCTAAAGTGTGCCTGAACCAAGCCATAAAATTTTCAATCACTTCATGTGCATGTGAAACATGGACAATGAATCAAGAAGGCTTTAGAAGAATCCATGCTTTTGAATTATGGTCTTGGTGAAGAAAATTGAAAGTACCATGGCCTGTTGAAAGAACAAACAAATCTGCATTGTAAAAAGTACAGACAGAGCGCTCCTTAGAACCCAGGATGGCCACACTTTGTCTCTTGTATTTTGGGCACATTGACAGGAGGGACCAGTCCCTGGAGAAAGACATTATGCTAGGAAAAATGGAGGGTTAGTGAAAAAGAGGAAGACCCCCAATGAGATGGAGTGACAAAATGATAGTAACATTAGGTTCAAACATAATGAATGTGAGGATGACACAGAGCTAGTAAGTGTTTTGTTCTTTTGTGCACTGGGTCACTATGACTTGTAATCAACTCAATGGCACCTGACAGCAACAAAAATCTTCTGAGCAGTCAATCAGTTGAAAGGGGACTTTCCTTGGAATGTGTCCCACACTCAATATATATAAGTATAGATGCTATGAGAAAACTTGCTCTTCCTAGATATTGAATCTGTCTTGTCATTCTCTGACCTTCAGTTTTGGGGGCTTTAGTCAGTAGCCTATTACCTGACCTGCAGAACTGGGTTTGTCATGCCCTGGTGTGGCGCTGTGGGTTAATATGCCAGACTGCAAAGCTGTTTGAACTTAAGGTTTGCAGTTCAAGCTCATCAGCTGCTCCTTGGAAATACCATACAGGGTTACTATAGGTTGGAACTGACTCAACGGCACTTCATAACAACACCACTACCATGTCAGTTTGTCAGATTGTGGGGCCTGTATGTTGCTGTGATTCTGGAAGTTACGCCACTGGTATATTGAATGCCAGCAAGGTCACCCATGGTAAATGGGTTTCAGCCGAGCTTCCAGATTAAGACAGACTAGAAGAAATGACAGGTGGACTACTTCCAAATGCTTAGTCACCGAAAATCTTATGAATAGCTGTGGAACATTGTGAAATTATGGAAAATTGAAACATGATGAATAGCACCGGAATACCATCAGATATAGTGCTGGAAGATGAGACCCTCAGGTTTGAAGTCACTCAAAATGTGACTGGAAAAGTGCTGCTTCCCTAAAGTAGAGTTGGTCATAATGGTGTGAATGTAGTAAAGCTTTTGAGATCTTCATTTGCTGATGGAGCACAACTCAAGATGGGAAAGAGCAGTAAACATCCACTAATAATCAGAATGTGGAATGTATGAATCTAGGAAAATTGCAAGTTGTGAAAAATGAAATGTAATGCATAAATGTCAATATCTTAGGCTGAAATGGGTTGGTATTGGCCATTTTGAATCTGCAAATCACATGGTTTAATATGCTGGGAGCGCCAAATTGAACAAGAGTGGCATCATATTCATTATCAAAATGAGTATTTCAAGATTGATTTTGAAGTATAATATTGTCTGTGATAGGATAACATCCATACAATTACAAGGAAGATCAGTTAATGCCACTGTTATTCAAATTTACACATGAACAACTAAAAGTAGTGATGATGAAGTTGAAGAATTCTACCAATTTCTTCAGTCTGAAAATTGACCAAACATGCAATCAAGATGTATTGACATTACTGATAATTATAATACAAAGGTTCATAACAAAGAGGAAAGATCAATAGTTGAAAATATTGTCTTGGTGATGGAAACGATGCTACAGATCAAATGACAGAATTTTTCAGGACCAGTGACTTGTTCATTGCAAATACCTTTTTTAAATAACATAAAAGATGGCTATGTACATGGATCCCCACAAATAGAATACACAAAAATCAAATTGTCACATATTCCATTTTGCCTGGATCCACTATCAACATTCATGGATGCAGCAGTCAAGAAATAGAATGACATATTGTACTAGGCAAATCTGCTGCACAAGATCTCTGTAAAGTGTTCAAGAGCAAAGATGTCGATTTGAGGACTAAATTGCACCTATGTAAGTCATAGTCTTTTCAATAGCCTTATATGCATGTAAATGTTGGACAATGAATAAGGAGGGCAGTAGAACAACTGATGCATTTGAGTTATGGTATTGGAGTAAATATTAAAAGTACCATAGACTTCCAGAAGAACAAATAAGTCTATGTTGAAACAAGTACAGTTAGAATATTCCTTATAAGCCAATATCCTCCTTAGAAGGGAGGATGGTGAAACTTTATCTCACATTAATCTGGATGGATTCTCAACACAGACCAGTCCCTTGAAAAGAACATCATGTTTGGTAAAGTGAAGGGTCACAGAAAAAGAAAAAGACTCCCAACAAAATAGCTTGACAAAGTGACTGCAATAATGGTCTCAAACATTACAATTGTGAAGACAGTACATGTCTGGGCTGTGTTTCGTTCGGTATGAGTTGAAGCTAACTCGAGGGCATGTACCAACAACAACAAGAGGTCATCGAAGTAAGAATAGGAACTAATCAATTATGTAATATTGTCCTAAAATGGGCAAAGAAGAAAATATTTGGGAAGAAAAATTAGGATAAAGTTGAAAGTATTAAACTCTTCAGTGCCAATGAGACACGTGGTTCAATGAGACACAATGTTCAGCAGGCAAATGTCTTGGGATACAGCTTTGGAAATTACACATGAACAACTAAAACCAGTGATGATGAAACTGAAGAATTCTACCAATTTCTTCAGTCTGAAATTGATCAAACATGCAATCAAGATGTATTGACATTACTGATAATTGTAATGCAAAGGTTCATACCAAAGATTAAAGATCAATAGTTGAAAATATTGTCTTGGTGACAGAAATGATGCTACAGATCAAATGATAAAATTTGGAAATAGCAGTGCTAGAAAGTGATCTATTTTTAATTACAAATCAGCCTCATCATTTCAGTCTCAATACTTAGGAACATGCATATACAGATCCATTTGCATCACCAATAATCTAATTTCACATGTTGCTCAGATGGAAATGTTTAAAACCCCATTATATTTTATACTTATTCACATGTTAAGTTTAGTTACTGATTTTGTTAAAATGTTTCTTTACCAATTATTCTGAATAAAAATAATCTCTAAAGTGTTATGCAACATGCAAAAGAAATATCCAAGTGTGATTTTTTCCTATTGAACTTGGTAATTAACTCCCAAAGAAGTTACATGATTTTTTTCAGTTAGCTTTGATAAATAAATATTTTATTCTAGTTTATGATGAATGATATAATTAACAACACGTGTTGGTCCATATAAGCCATTTATTTTACATGTAGTTTATTCACTTTCTAAAAACAAATATGTTACTGAAAGAAAACTTGAATTTGACAATAAATATTAAACACCACATACTAATGAAATATGATATATATTTATTTATTAAGTTATCATGGTTTAAATATTATATTCAGTATAGTCTCTCAAACACAGCTGGCAAAAGAGGTGGGTAATAAATACTGACACAGCCAACTGATTTTCATTAAATACAATTAATAAATGAACACTAAAGAGGGAAGGTCTGCTATTTATTTGCAATCATATCAAAAGGGAATGATTCAAAGGCTAGTCCCATGAAAACTTTTCCTTTGGTATCACTGCCATATGTTCTTGTTTTATAAAATAAAACCATAGGAAAGTTAAGTACAGAAACAAAACATTTAGACATAAACTATGAAATGTTATCTCCAGTATTAGCAAAGGAAACTAAAGCCTCCTTACTCAGCCTTCAGTAAGAAATACGTGCAACTCCATTAACTGCACTAGTTTCTTTCAGAAAATCCAGAGGTCCACTTTTAATCTTGGCCCATTTTTATTTGAGGGTTTTAGGTAATAATGTAGGAGAGTACGGTGCCTTATACATAGTGTACAGTGTATAACTTTTGATGTACATCTCAGTGTAGTACCATTATTGGTACAAAATAACACAACTCAAAGTGAATTTCTTGTTGATAACAATTCAGCGATACCACAAGACGTAAAAAGTAGTACAATATATATTTTTTAAGTTACTGTCATTCAAAGGAAACAGTGAATTCTAAATTAGAGAGTATATTATTAGATATATATTAAATGATAGCCATGAAACCGGTCATTTGTTTGAACATAGATAAGTTTTTGGGTTTCCTTTTAAGAGAATTTAGCTCAGTAAATAAATTTGTCATTTTAATGTAATACTAATACCTTTTCTTCTTCTTACACTTTTGGAACTTTTGGATATATTTGTTTCCTCTATTGTTTTCTGTGCTACTATCACTATCACTGGTTTGTCTCTTTCGTTTTTTCATCTGATAAGGATCAGAGTCACTTGGTTTTTGATGAGTCCACTCATAAGAGCTGGGTCCAGCTTCTAAATCTGGAGTGCGATTTAGTGAAGACAAGGATGTATTAGTAGGAAGTGGCACTGTCATCTCATAGTAAGGAAGCTGAAGCATTGGATTATATGTGTTCCACTGCTGTGGGGGGAAAAACACATTCATTTATAAAAATAAGCTCATAAACTAAAACAAAACAAAGTTGACAGTATATATACATTACATAAACAATTCTAAGTAAAACAAATCATCTGTTGGCACACAAAAGAGAGTGATTTTGTTGAGCAGGGATATGGTTGTTGTTAAGGAACCAATGAGTCAGTTCTGACTTATAGAGATCCTGTAGAGGGTTTCTGAGCAGTGGCTGGTAGTTTTGAACCACTGATCTTATGATAAGCAGTCCAGTGCTTATCTTATAGTATCACACCAGGTAATTTCCTTAAATAACTAACGTAAGATGAAATGTAGTGTGTAGCTTGCTATATAGCTTATTACCATATAGGTAGACACTACTGATGGAAATAGAATATAGACACATCTATAATTTTAAATCTTCTAGTTGTTTTTAGTTGACATTGAGTTAATTCTGACAGGTAAAAAGAACATGCAATTACATAATATGTATCATTTATCTAAATATATCCAAAATATCATGTTAATATGTAATTAATATAAAAATTACTAACCAGATTTTCAACATTCTTTTTGGTTGTTTTATTACATCTTGGTGTGCATTCCATCTTTCTAGCCTATCTCAATTTGGACCCTAATTTTTATTGAAAATAAAACTTTCCAATCAAACCAATTGCCATCTAGTTGATTCTACCTCAGAGTGACCATATAGTACAGAATAGAATAATTCCATAAGGTTTCTGAGGCTGTAAATTTTTACAGGAAGACAGAGCCTTTTCTTTTTCCTGTGGAGTAGCTGATGGGTTTCAGCTGTCTACCTGGCCATTAGCAGCCCAACACTTACCCCCAAAATATTTTATCTGCATTTAGATTTCATGAAATTTACAGATGAAAAAGTTGACCAACATACCCAAATTGTTTCAAATATGACACAGAAGTTCAATATTTGTAAAAATTATACCACACACACACATAACATCACATGTGGTATATTTCACATCTGTCAATATACGTTTGCATAATCTTGTGTTAGTTATAACCTTTTAGCCTCATTTAAAAAAAAACAAAAGACGAGTTGTGAGAAAAAAAATTACTAGGCTATAAGAGTTCTAAGCCAGAACTTTGTTTGAATAATCTGTGGAAATAATGTAGTTTATCAATTTGAGAACCTTTGTATAGGCTAGACTTTAGTTAAGAAATAAGTTCATTTAAAAATCCATGTTTAAAGTAACACACTTGTTACTGATAATTATTATTGTTGTTGACAAGTTCTGTTGAGTTGGTTCTGACTCATAGCGACCCTGTACAGGGTTTTTAAGGAGCGACTGGTGAGTTAGAACCTCCGACCTTGTGATTTAAGTGGATATTGCTGTCCAGTGCTTAACAGTGCCACACCAATATATCTTACAGCTTACTAAATTAAATGATTCACTTTTCAAAACATCTTTTAAAATAGCCATTTACATGTGAACTCTCTACAAATTGTATCTGCTTAATGCAACACCACCACTGTTTGCCCCTCTTCTAGTGGCACGCTGGCTGTCTGCTGAGGGTTTCACTATGGGAGTCAGGCGACTGGGTGGAAGCAGGACATTGGGCAGAGAGATCAGGGTCACTTCTGCCTTCATGCCAGCTTCAGGTTTGAGCACCAAATGCTTCAAAGCATTTTGATGTCCTTCATAGTTTGTGTTGTTATTATATTGAACCAAATGCACATCAAACTTACCATTTTTGGGGAGAAAAAATATTCTTGAGGTAAAGGAGCATTATTAATGGGAAATAACTGCATGGGAACTGTAGGTCTGCCCACAACTTCTTCATTTCTTTGGGGAGATACAAAAAGAAACATAAATTGCTGAAACTCCTACATGCAATGTCCTGATTCCTATTTAAAAAAAAAAAAAAAAAAAGATATCTCTTCCAAATCTAAAAAAAAAAAATTGCTCTGCTAGAGTTCAGGTAAGATTAATGAAAAACCTTAAGCATACACACATACATATATATACACAAATCATTATTATACTGATAATGTAGGTATATAGCAGTACCTTAAGTCAAGCACTACATATCGAAATCTCAATATTTAGAGTTATATTTGACTTTCTGATAGAAAAATATTAAAACAATTTTATATTGGCATTAAAGACAAAAAGTACTTCATATTAACAGAACAAAGACAATAATCACCAGTAACAGAGTTCATCATCTAGCTTCTACAAAATAAAAAGTAAAAAACAAATTTTTCTTAAATTATCTTTGAAAATACATTTACTGTTAATCTACTCTTTCATTGATGGACTATTAACATATTAACATAAAGACATGGTTGCTGATTTCTTTGATACATTAAGGTAAAAGAGGACCTTCAATTTCAAAACTATAGTGTTCTAAAATTTCAGGTTTGCTTCTATGGAGATGTTAAAAATATTCTAATGTTACAAATGCTGGCTTTAACAGTTTACTTACTCCATTTGCTGTTAGCGGCTGTGGGGCTGGCCTTGATTCATGGCTATTCCATGTACAAGGAAACGCAACACTGCCCAGTCCTGTGCCATCCCCACAATCAATGAGGATTAGACTATTAGGATCTACTGGCTAGTTTTCAGAAGTAGATGGTCAGACCTTGCTTCCTAGGCTGTCTAAGTTTGGAAGCTCTTTTGAAACTTCTTCAGCCACAAAGCAACATGCAAGCCTTCAATGGCTGAAGGGTACAGACTGCCAAGTGAAGTGCACTGGCCAGGTACTGAACTCAGTCTTCCATGGGAAAGCCCACCCAGTACACCATAATGCTATTACATAATTGCTGTTATTACTAATTCCTAGAACAAGAAGTACATAGTGGGAAAAGTGAAATGTATACATACAGATAGGCAAGCTGAGGGAATAATACAAGCTACATCTAAACAGACAGGAGATTCCATTCATTAGTGGGGAGAATGCAGACATTGTTGTTGTTGTTAGGTGCCATCAAGTCGTTACTGACTCATAACAACCATATGCACAACAAAATGAAACACTGCTTGGTCCTGGACCAAACTCAGAATTGTTGCTACTCTTAAGCCCATTGATGCCGCCACTTTGCCAATCTATCTCGCTGGTTTTCCCTCTGAACCTCCACCTTACAAAACATGATATCCTTCTCCAGTGACTGGTCCCTCCTAAAAATATGTCTGAAATATGAGAGACAAAGTCTGGCCATCCTGGTTTTCAACGAGTACTCTGGCATAGAAGCCAGCGAAAGAGCAAACTTCATAAAGATAGGCATAAGATAATGGTCCAATGTTACAGTTCTGATGCCCCTAAACTATTGATCAGAATATTCCTGATAGCCTTCAAAAGAACAGCTTCCATAAAGCAACGTAGTAATTTTTATTATTATTATTATTATTATTTTTTAATGGGAAGAGGTTGAGAAGTGAATGGGGAATAAGGATGTGAAGGAGGAAAGATTTTTTTCAGTGAGAGGTAAGACAAAAATAGAATCACTTGATTAGACGACAGGGTTTAGGGAGAACAGGAATGAAAGGTAGAATGAAGTTACAGAGTGGGTAAGATGTATCTCCTTACAGTAGTACTGTCATGGAAACTGCAGATTCTGTGCAACCATTCTGTGATCTCAGGGAATACAAAATTTTCTGAACAGAGGAATTATATTGGAAACTATTCATTAAAAGCAAAGGTATAAGATAGAATAAAAAATACAAGGGAGTCCATTTCTAAGGAGGGCCATAAAGGCCCTAAGATATCACATGAGCAAAATTTTTCACTGTAAATCAGTTTTAGAATGTAACAATCAACCAATTCTTCTATTTCTTTAATAATATAATATATAACAAAGAATAAAATACTACCAATGTATGCATTATAAAGTAATACATGCTTAACTTGGAACTTCTATCCTAGAATTGGTGATGATTTAGATAAATTGGGAAAGGTGTGCGACAGGGTTGTGTTCTTTCACCATTCTTGTTCAATATGTATGCTGAGCAAGTCATATGAGAAGCTGGGTTCTATGAAGGAAAACGTGGCATCAGGATTGGAGGAAGACTTATTAACAACCTGAGATATGCAGATGATACAACCTTGCTTGCTGAAAGT